TTCTAGCTCTGCACACTGTAGAAAAATCTAGAAATACAATTTTGTATATCGTAATAATATTAATAGTTGTCAGAAAGCTGGATAAAGTAGAGATAAATCTGTAAATTTGAAAACTATAAACATAAATTTAAATTTCTCAAAAAATAAATTAAAAAATTCTCAAAAGTCGCTACTTTTGGCCGATTTGTCTGTGGTCTCCGCTACCTCACTACGTCCCTCTAAAAGTCGCCACAGTTGGGAACACTGATGAGCAGACATCTAGGGTCTAAGTAAGGCGAAATGTAATCGCCAAAACGCGCTGTAGAAAGGCAGAAAAATTTAAAATTTAAAAATATAATTTCTTGTGAACAGCAGTTTGGGCCCCCTTCCAAGTGGGCCCTGTGCGGGTGCACCTGTTGCACCTGCCTAGTTACGGCTCTGAGTACATATATACATAAAAATGTAGATTATATATTTATTATGTGGAAAACATGTAACATTATTTGTCATATAGTAAACAGTATGCAGTATATGTATTATATATGTTTCAATATGAATACAATATATTATTTTTATAATAGGAATCATACAAATTTGCAACAAAAAATATTTAAGGGAGTAAAAACTATGAAATTTTAAATAAGAAAAATCATTTTATAACTATCATTTTTGGAAATATTAATTTTTCAAACGTCATTATGCTATAGCCTATTCTATTAGAAGAGTTAGTTCAATATTTAATTATTAATAATTATTGATTAATCTTCAGATGATACAGAATAATTATACTTTTAAGAGTCTTTGTCTTCTAATTTTTACAGAAAAGAAGAAATTCAAAGCAAACTTTCTATGATTTATATGACAGTGAATTTCAATATCCGATTATATTACATTATAATTTTATATTAATACAAAGTTAATAAAGCCCAGAATATACATTGTTGTATATTAGAATAACAATTTTCTAATTTACAAATATTATGACTTAGTATAAACAGAAAAAAAAATAAAAGTATAAAATATTAAAACGTTGATTAATAATAATGATGATTGAATCAATTATTGAATTTTTATTTCCATATCTTCTTTATAAGAATATAATCTTTTAATAATAAATAATTGTTATTTGACATATGTGCAAATATTACTCCAGATAAGTTTGCCCATGTCAAAAATTCTATTACAAAAGCTTTTTTCTAAATTTGTAAAAAAATAATAAAATTTTCAGAATAATGATCATATGTGTAAAATTAAAATACTTGTGTACAGTACATATAGTACATATAGATTTAAATACATATATAGTATATAATTATCCTGTAGCATTCAATTATATATACTATGTGTGTGTGTGTGTATATATATATATACACACACACACACACATAGTATACATAATGAATGCTACAGGATAAAGTATATAAGTGCATGTATATGTATATATATATAAATATACATACATATACATGCACAGTATACATTCCAGACTTTTATTAGTCTCAATTAATTTATAACATAAAATAAGAAATTCATAGTTTTAGTCAATCAATTTTAAACGTAGATTGTTTCATTGTATGATTTTTAATACATAATTTATATTAAACAAACTCTTGTTAAATTACTGTATAATAATTGTTAAATATGTTATAGAAAGATTTGAATAAGTTATGATAAGAATAAAATTCGAATATAATTAAAACTTAAAGTTAACCTGAAAGTTATAAAAAGCAACTTCCAGAAACAGAAAAAAATTGCATTTTCATAAAATTTAAATGTTTTTTTTTTAAACAAAATAATTGTGTATAAACTTTTAAAATTAATTTCAAATTATTTCTTTTAAAAAATATCATTAAACATTACACAATTAAATGTATATATTTAGTTAAACAACTACAAATTAATTAATAAAATCCCAAAGGATTAAATTATTTCATTCCTTTAAATTTTATTACAGTTTGTTAATTTGTTTCTTGTCATTACCATAATAAAATTAAAATATTTATTATAATTAAAGTTATAAACATATTGCAGTCATAGAAAATACTTATTTACTATTATTAGTCGTCTTTTTTTTTAAGAACAAAAAACAAAACACTGCAAACAAATATATAAATATACCATTTATAAATTACACTTTTATTATATATTAAAACGCCTTATATACTTTTACAACAGATTTTATCATTTTTATATTCATCTTCTTCCCACAGATGGAAAAAATTTACGTGACGTCAACATCGTAGACCACAAAATAGGCGTGTGTGACGTCATAGACTTTTAGCTGTGTTCGCTATCGGAACGGAAGGGAGTGTGGATTAAGTGCATGCGCCATGGAAAAGTCAAGTGACACTTCCTGTAACTTTCTGGACTTCAACAATAGAATGTCGAAGGTAAAGAAGGTATTGGACGATGCCAAAGAGCATAATAATCCCGAGATCGATCTGGTCGACAAAGGAATTAATTCGTTGGAAGAGATACCAGGACTCCGTGAGTACTCGCTGTAATAATATACCACTTACCAAATTAGGAATGTTGTTTTTTTCTTTTTTTCTTGGACCGGTTTAGCGCATGACGCCGAGCAGAGGTGTTGCTCCCCTTCGCACACATGCACCTGCTTATTTATGAACCCGCCAAGGTTCGAATCGAAGTGTTTTCACTTTGATCAATCATTTATTTCAATTGTTGTCGGCAAAGTTATCCGAATGAAATTGATTAAATTTTATTTACACGTGTTTTAAAAAGTAATTATTACGTAAACTGTAACTGCTGTTGTTTTCAGTACTTTGAGATGACTTGAATAATAATAATTTGAAGAAATTTCTGTTTCCAAATATAAATTTTAGTAATGTTAAATTGCAAAATATACTCTTACATATTAATTTTTATAAATATTTTTCTATTTAGTCAAAATATAAATGCAATAACTCTACAGCTTTATCAATTATTGAAAATATAAAAAATATAAAATTGTAAATAACACATCTAAATATTGTCTGTTTAATTAAATAAAATTATTATTATTATTAATTCTACTGAAATAATTTTAAAATGTTCTTAGTAGAGTTCTATAAATATGATGGTTTTAATCAGAATTAATGTTATAAATAAATAGGTTCTTATTTATTTATAACATACCTCTAAAAGTGATATTTAACAGTTTTTATTGGCCTAGAATTGAACTACATAGTGAAATTCTCACCTAATTACAATAGTTAGAGAAGTATGACAGTAAAAAAAAAACTGAAATATTTTTGTAATTAGTTTAAATAATTTAAAAAGCTAATATTGATTTTTTTCTTATTTAATGAAGATAATATTTAATTCAGACAATCAAAAATAAATTAATAAATGCCATTTTTAAATTTATTTCATAATTGAAGTTTGTCGTGTAAGTAATGTAATGATTAGAAATTAATTTCAGTATTATCTGAGTGAATATTTTATTTGGCATTAATTCATTATTATTTATAAATAGTAATTAGGTTTTAGATTTTATAATGTTTCTATTTTGAATCTGTCTTCAGAATAAACAAAGTTTTTTAATTCATTTAGTTTAAACTAAGTCTATATTTAAAGAAAAATTATCCATTATCTAAATATGAAGATAAAAATTTAATGTATTAAACATCTTTAACTTATTCATTTTTTTATTGTACAGTATAAAGGTAGATTAAAGTTTATAGTAAATAGAAATATACAAAATTAAAATAAAATTGACTCTAGTTAGAAATGATATTTTACTTGAAAAGTACTTAAAAACTTTTAAATTTAAATTGCTCAAATTTAAGTTTTTAAAACAATTGGTCAGTTTAAAATTTAAAAATATTCTAAACCATTTGAAAAGTATAAAAATAAAACATAGAAAGAGAAAAACAAATATAAGAGTTGCAAATTCTCTAGCAAGTGGTTGGAAGACTTTATTTAGATTAATAATGGCTTAATTATAATAACCTGGTCTAGAGATTTATGCTTTAATTTGTTATATTTTATGATATTTATTTTGATATTTTTTAAATGGCTCAGAATATAAAGTTTGAATTGTTCAAATTGTTATTTGAATTTAAATGATTGAAGAATTGTAATCTGATGATCATCATTAAGAGATTGAAAAAATTCATTTGTTTATTAAACATATTGCTGGAGTTTAGGCTGATTATTCATAACCAGTTCTTGAGTTTATTAAGATTCAAAGTATTGGGTTTACGTTAATGAAAATGATTAACTTTCTTTTATAGTTATATCTACTATGATTTTGTATATGTAAATTAATTCTTAATATTTCCCAATTAATTTACTATTGTAAAAGTGTAAATCAGTTACTTTTATATAAAGAGAGATTAATTAATAATCATGAATAAAATGAATCATTGAAGAAATATGTGAATTTATATTTCTTACTAACTTGTGTAAATTAATAAATTGAGTTGATTATTAATTCTAAACTAGTTTCTAACTCATATTTTAAAGATATGATTGAAATCAATCTGTTAATATTTTAAATCAAGATTTTTTAAAATAAACATTATTAAATATTTAATTTAATTGAAAATAAAGTACTGAAACTTTAGTCTTACTACTTGAAAGAAGTAGCATTTATGTCCAGAACTTTTAAGAATTAAGTTGTAAATAAAACTTTTTAAAAAGATCTTTAGCTGATTCATGTCTAAATGAACCAGAAACATTTACAACATATATGCATCAGTTTAGCAGCAAACTGTATTGATAATATTTAAAATTTTTGATAAATTTTTAGAATTAAATAAAGAAAAAATTACATTATACTTATATCTTGTTTTTTCTGAAAATTACATTTTTTAATATTTATCAATAATTCATTAAATGTTACCCCATAAAAACTTGCATAATTTTAACTAATTAGCTTTAATTAATTGACTTATTGAAAATGCATTAATGGAAGCTAATAAAAGAAATTTTTGTAAATAACTGCAGTGAAATCAATTAGTTACTTTTTTCTTTTTTTATGAAATATTACAGTTTTTCTACTTATTTACAGCTTGACTTATTAATATTTTTTGCTTCATTACACATGTAATGTGTCATTGTGTCAATACAAATTTGCTTTGCCTTTGACGTCACACTATCGGAACCTGTGACCGGCGCTCTGTGCGTATATGTTAAAATATCCTGACCAACGTTTTCGAGCATTCCAATCGCTCTTCTTCAGGTCAACTGAAAGAATTCCTTTCAGTTGACCTGAAGAAGAGCGATTGGAATGCTCGAAAACGTTGGTCAGGATATTTTAACATATACGCACAGAGCGCCGGTCACAGGTTCCAATAGTGTGACGTCATTTTCATCCCGGTGCTGTGGATAGAATAGTTTCTGCTTTGCCTTTATATTTATGTATTGATTATCTGTTAAATAAATATATTCAAAAACATATTCAATATTCAAATATATTCATTATTACTGAATATCAATAAAATTTTAAAATAACTAATTGAATCTTGCCAATTACAGCTATTAAATGTTTAGGTTAATGTTTATTTGTAATTTTTTTTCTTCGAATTAAAATGGCATATTATAATTAGAAGAAAAACCAAATTAGAAATTAATAATAAATGCATTTTCATGATTTTGTCAAATTAACAGCTTAATAGATTTTAAACTGGAAACTTAAAGCCTTTATCATTATGATAAGATTTTATTGTAAAATATTGTACTTTAGATACTACTAAATAAATTAAATATATATAATTATTTTAGGTATTTAAATGATATATTGCATTCTATTTCTTACTCAATAGACTTTTTAGAATAGTTATCATCAATAGGCTTTTTAAGATTGTGAAATCAAAATGTCCATTATATATCTATGTGGTAAGAGAGATAATAACATGGTCATGTAAACATGTTTATTTAGAAAACATTATCATATAAATCTAAAAACCATAAAAAAACAAATATAGAATTAGCATTGCTTGGACCAAAATGAGTAAAATGAACAATATTTGAACATAATATTGCTTTTTCAAAGATTTAAAACTATTCAAAATTATTATTATAAATTATATTACTATTTATTCACCATATTATAATCTGTATCGTAAATATTATATCAAAACTGCAATGTATGGTTTAGAAATTTGATAATTAAATCAACAATAAAACAAAAGTTCAAAGCATTTGGAATAGAATAGAATAGCTTTAGAATAAACAAAACATATTAAATTCAAATTCTGTATTAAATGTCCATAGTAGATTGGCATATTCTTGAACTTATCCACAAAATGCAAAACATATGATGCAGACACATTCAGTACATGCCATCTCATAGATTCACATTGCTAAATCAAATGGTAAATCTGAGGGCAACAGATTTTGTGGTAGTCCAAAAACCTGGCTGCAGTCTATGAAAGAAAAGCTGGTTTTCTCAATTATAGTATAGTAATAGAAATTATCAGAGATGACGGAAAATGGCGATCTTTCATTTGGAGATTTTACCAAGGACTCATTCTTGCTAATGAAACCTATCAAAAGATGGATTAACACTTAGAAATAGCTGAAATGATTAAATACCTTGTTATTTCAGTTATTACAGCTACTGCTTTTAGGATAAAGTTAACAATTTCTTTTAGCAGGCAGATAGAGCATTTAGCATATTATCAAAAATATGAATTTGTATTCCACCTAGGTCAAAATATTTTTTTTGTCTTGATCTTGATTTCTTTAGACAGACATATCAATATATAGTTTTTATACTAGAATTTATATTTTGTATTTTATTTCACTAAAAATTTCACCTATGGTAATCATTTTATAAACAAAAATATGGAAATGCCTTCTATATAATAATTAAACAATGAAATGAATAGAAAATACAGTTTATAGTCTTTTTGAACTGAAATTTTCAAATTGCAAACTTGTACATTTCCACTTGTCCATCTTTCTGCCTTTCATTCATCTCAATAATGGAATTAGATAAAATGAAAATCAAGACCATATATGGAAAGCTTTGAGGCTGGAGATCCTGATTAACTACAGTGGGTGATCGGTTAACGAACAAATCGGATAACGAACACTTTCGTGAAAGATTTTTATGATCGGACAACGAACACATGTTCGGATAACGAACACTTCACTGAACAAACACAAGAAGCGACGTAAAATAACGAATACCGATTGGTCTTCCTTTGTCTTCAGGCAACAATTCGAAACTTTTCGGAGCGCGGGAGACGTCGACATCGACGTTCTACCCAGTATATACTGATCGGATAGTATTCCCCCGAACTTTGAAACTCTCCCTTGTAATTCCAGCCTTTTATATTTCTGACAGAAACAATTCTTTTACGTTTTCTTCTGAAAATGCGGATTTATGCCGATATCTGCTATTAAAGATCTTTTGAAGAAGTGGGAGGATGTCAGAACAATGGTCTTAAAATGGCATCCAAACCAGGTTGAGGTTAATAAGCCTAGAGATCTCTACAATTACAATGCTATTAATTACTTCTGAAAAATCCTAAAGATGAGAGAAAAGCAATCGACATTGGACAGATTCTTTAACTCCCACAAACGGAAAAAACATGACTAATAAAAATGCAAGACTGTGTATATATGGATTTTTATTATTACATGTGAATAAACGTAGTAAGAAAGTATATATTTTTTATTTTTGGGGGAGTCTCCAGAACGAATTAATCAAATTCCCATAGACACCTATGGTAAATCAATAATCAGTTAACGAACAATTCGGATAGCAAACAAAGTCTTGGAACAGATTATGTTCATTAACTGATCACCCACTGTATATGAAATTTCCAGTCTGGACTAGAAGTTGCATGATTTTTTTAATTTCACTGAAAATAAGAGCATATTCTTATGTGAAAATCACTTGTTTTCACATTTTTGAAACACTTGTCCTGCTCCATTTATAAAAGCATACTTTGAGCAAGCTCTTATACATACCAGTTTGTTTTGGTTTTTAAGAGCACTATATTGCTTTGTCAGTGTACTGTAAATGTAATGTAAATGTATTGATACAATTTTTTCATGGGCCAAACCAGAGGCTGCCCTAGGAAGATTTTGAGGTGGTGCGAGATCTCATTGTGGTGTCACCCCTTAGAGACTAAATTGTACATAGAGATTACAGATACATTTTTCACATTATCATTCTTTATCAATGTTCAAACAAAATTTGTAAGTTAAGAAGTCATGGATTTGCTATTTCAGTTATTTTTTTCAATGTAATGACATTGAAAAAAATAACTGGTCATATTTGGTGAAAAATACCAATATCACCATTTTGAAATTCAATGTTTCTTTCATTAAGGCTTGTAAAATAATTTGTTGATAAAGTGATAATTTGTAGTAAAAATGATTGATTTTCATTAAGCATTTTGTTTTTAAATCTTACTTTCTATTTGGAGTTTAAGTATCAAATATGAGTAAAAATTTTTATTATTTTTTCATTATTTTGCAGTTCTTATATATTAAATTGTGTAGATTACATTTATGTATAATGTGATATCATAAAAATATTTTAATTTTTTCCATTATTTATTAATTACTTAAAAATTTTAATTTTTCAGTGTCTATGCAGAACATAACTAGGCTGACTTTGACTCATAATAAAATTCTTGGTAAGTGAATAAATGTATTGTATTGTATTTTATTTTATGCTATAGATTTTGTAATTTAAAGTTGTTTGTACAAATTAAAATTATTAATCATCTGTAACATTAATTACATATTGAAATTTTAATTAATTGTCTGAGATTACTTATTAGATACGTATAAATCAATAAATTAAGAGTATAATGTGGAATAAACAGACTGACTAAACTGTAGTTTTCATTATGGTATTTAGATATCAAAAATCACATAAATTATTTTCCAAATATTTTTTATTTTTTAAAAATTTTTTATGAATAGAAAGACTTGGTATTGAAATGCATTAACACTTTCCATTGATTGTAAAATACTAATGCTCTTTCAGTCTAAAAAAATGCATGTCTAGTGCTTTCCAAAAAGAAACAGGAAAGCACTAGACACTTGTCCAATGCAATTAATGTCTCTTAATATTTTCAATAAATCTATTTTTATGTATTTAAAATACTCTGAGACAGTTTAGGTTTGTTTTTTAGTTTCTTTTATTTTCAGATTGTTTGAAAAATGTTTAAAATTTCAGTTGTTTTGCTTTTAAATTATTTTTTTTTTAAAAGATTTAAAACAATAGAAGAGAACATTATTGTTTTGTAATTGAAATCATGTTACTGAAATGTATTTTATAAAAATAGTAGGAAAATAAAGATATATTATTCAAGCAATCTTTATTATTTAGCAAAATATTTACAATAATATACTGAATAGTTAATGATTCAAAATTAATCCATAGGAATAAATTAATTTGAAAAGTAAATAATAATACCAAATTTTGGAGTACAGGTAGCCCTCGGTTTACGCCGGCTCAATTTATGCTGATTCACGATAATGCCACTGCGCAAGTTGCCATTTCGCGGTGTAATTCCCCAATTTTCCCTATGCTAGACTGATTTTCATTTCAGTGTTGACGTATTTACTGAGCTGCAACATTGTATATTCGTTAAAGTAAAGATTTTTATTGAATATATTTATTTTTTTCTGTTTAATATTATTGGGTATGTATACATTTGCATTAAATTAATATTAAAATACTAAACTAAGGTAACCATGAGTCAAGATATTAAACTTAATAGTCCAATAAATGGCGTCTGAATCCATAGTGCCAATGAATGTATCCCGTATTCAGGAAAACACCTTACGACACAGTAGCACTTCTGGTGATCACAAACTATCGTTAGTGAGACAAATCTATTTCTCGTTGGCCAGACAATACTTTTTTATTAGCCAGACAATATCTACTTCTTGTCAGTCAGACAATATCTATCTCTTCTTAGCCACCTTCAATTTTCCTGTTCAAACTGACCTTATATATGCACTATGGCAACCAGTGGTGTCTCCACTTGTCTGTAGTTCTATATCGGGTTAACGTATCCTTTCAACTATGGAAAGTTTGATGGATGAACTTTGTGAGTAAGACAATGATTGGGAGCGAAGTGCAAATGTAAAAAGGAGCATCATATTTAACCATATTCCAAAATTCTCAATGAAAGAAAACAAAAATGTAAACAATTAAAGATGGATCCTTTTTTCTGAAAAATATACAAGATCTGAAACTAAAATTTTTTTATAAAAACATTTCACTTTATTTTATGATAAAATACATTTAAAAAATTAAATTTACATGTATTTTGTATTATATTGTATTAATAAACAAAATTATTTGCTTATTTTTCACTTATGTAGAACCTAACCCTATANCACTGAAAATAAGAGCATATTCTTATGTGAAAATCACTTGTTTTCACATTTTTGAAACACTTGTCCTGCTCCATTTATAAAAGCATACTTTGAGCAAGCTCTTATACATACCAGTTTGTTTTGGTTTTTAAGAGCACTATATTGCTTTGTCAGTGTACTGTAAATGTAATGTAAATGTATTGATACAATATTTATTCAATGACTTCTCTGTGGTAACCATTATTATTATAAAATTAAAAAGCCAAAAACAAAAATAATAATAATTTTTCTAATAAATGTGGATTTTAAAATAGTGTTAACTATTTTGTAGAATAGTGTTAACTATTTTGTAGAATATAGTGCCGATTTTGCCCCATATATAAGAGCATGTTCTTATATGTGCAGAAATATAATATTTTTATGTAGAAAATAATATAAGGAACAAATTATTTTTCATGCTAATGTGATTCAAAATTTTCATTTTGGCTTCTTACAAGAATTTTATAGAATATTGTTATTTATACCATTTTAAACATTTTGAAATTTCAGAAATAGCAATAATGATTAAAAAACTTATCTTAAAAGAAAGAAACTATAATTTTATTTAAGATGTACCATTGAAATTAACTAATGTGTGAGCCCGAGGGTTTACAGGGTGTAAATTTTTGAGTTTAATATACTTTTACATTAGAGGATAAAAAAAATAATTTATCGCAAGTTATAACGGAAATAGAGAGGATGTCAAATTTTACACATCCACACGGTAGGAAGGAAGAAAGACAAGTCATCATCCGTTTGTTAATTAGTCAACATGCACCTGCTAATTATACAACAATCATATAAAAACGATCGTCATGGGAAGTTCAGTGCGATCGTCCCTCCGCGCGATCATCTGGAAGGTCTGAGTACAGTGTCTCCCGTCCCAGTCCTATCTGAGGAGAAGCCAGTAGAAGACATAAGCCTGTGACAGCCAGCCAGCTTCCATAGTCCAGAATGATTGTTGCAAATCATCATCCAACATAAGGTATACCTGACCGCCAATATAACTCTCTCACTCTAGAGCCTTTGTAAACTCTCTCCTATAGCATAGTGACTAGTTAGATTGTCATTATAGATAGATTTGTGTTATCTACATTTAAGCACTAAGTCAGTGACTTCCTTATGTATACTCCTGTAAATTAACTTTAGTTATAGAATAAACGTTTATTTTGTTATTTGTTAAACCTGTCTCCTGTCTATCCGAGGAAACCTGACGACTTACTGATGCACTCCCCACTCGTTTTGCCCTCCTAGCCATCCAAACAACTCCGAGATCGGGCTTCACCAGCCTGTGCAGATTAAGTGGTCAGTGCCAGATTAACCCCTGACCTACTGCTTATCTCACAAATGATTTCAAATAATTGATAAGTTATGCATATTAAAAAACGAAAGATGTAGAAAGTTCTTGTATATTGGACATAAGTCAGATAAAAGTTTTTTATTACTTAATTTTAGCATCATTATCATCATTATACATAGAACTTAATTTAAACAAAAAATTTAATCTCAAGCTGGGTTTTTATTTAAACCATTGAACAATTCATTTATTATAGTTTATTTTCTCAGAAAAACTACATGATAGAATCATCAAAAGAAATGATTGAGTAATTAATGTTGAAGTCACAAAATTGATTGATTATATGATATCATAAAAGTATCTTAGTTTTCTTTATATTACTTAAAATAATTTCTAATACAGTAGTTAGAATCTAAAGAAATAAGAAATTACTGTCTTATGTATTTTCAATTTATTATGTATAAATAACTGCAATTTATTAATTTTCAAAACTTTAATAGTAAATTTACAATTTTGAAGTTTGAAAATATATAATTGCATCATATTTGCATATAATCTTACAATTTATAAGAAAGTAGACTTTCTCCTAGTTGTATCAGAAATAAGTTTCATATTTCTTTTTAACATTTGTAATTTTAGATCAATTGAAAGAGTGCATTTTTGTTCTTAAGCATAATGAGATATGACAAAGATGAATAGAAAAGAATAGGAATTGCTAAAAACTCTATTTTATATCGATCTGCAATTTAAAAATAAATTATGCTTTTGTATTGTAATTTGTGAAAATAAAGGCATTATGCATCTTGCTATCTCATCGAATAAGATTTATTTGTGGATATAACATATTCTTGTTCTTAAGATATTTTTTATAATGAATGTTCTGTACATGTCCTTATGTTTTGAACATGGGCAATGACAATGGCTACACCAAAGTAGATTGCTACTCTGATGCAAGAAATTTTTTCCAGTCTGAAATATCTAACATTTTTATCAGATTTTATTACTTTTATTTTTAAATAGTAGACATATATTAAATTAAAACAATAAAATCAAATAATATATACCCTCTTTTGTTTGTAATAATATACATAAAATTTAATTTAGAATAAAATTATGTATATATTTATTCTGTTCTCTGTGTATTAGTACTTGCTTTCATTTCCCATCTATGTTTTAACAGATCNTATTCCATCAAGCATAGCCAATTTTGTCAATCTTGAAGTTTTGAATTTGTTCAATAATCATATTGAGGTAAGCTTTCCTAATCCATTATAAAATCTGTTAAAAATAATAAACAAACACCTTCTCAGTGAAAATATTTCAGTCTAATTTATGTACTAAAAACATTAATCTCAATCTTTTCACTGTATAAAGGTGTATATTTGGGCAAGCTTTTGTTTAAATCTGTAATTTAAAAAATCATATAATAATCACTGATTAAATCTTAAATATTTAAATTGAGTTTTTTTTTTGTTTAGTAGAATTAAAATGCCAAATGATATTTATATTACATATGTATGTGTATAGAAATATAATAGATTAATGGAGAAAAATCAATTTGTATTAGATGAAAACTGAATTTAGAACTTCCTACTTCAGTTGAAAAGTACTAATCAGTTTTTGCTAGAAATACAATCTACATTTGTGTCAGAAATCATTCTTTTCATGAAGATAAAATTTGTGTAATGAAATGTAGAGACATATTAAAAGTTAAAAATAGTATATACAGTAGGTGATTGGTTAACGAACATAATCCATTCCAAGACTTTGTTTGCTATCCGAATTGTTTGTTAACCAATTATCAATTTACCATAGGTTTTTATGGGAATTTAATTCATTCTGGAAACTCCAAAAAATAAAAAAATATATACTTTCTTACTATATTTATTTATATGTAATAATAAAACACATATATACACAGTCTTGCATTTTTATCAGTCATGTTTTTTCTGTTTGTGGGGGTTAAAGAACCTGTCTAATGCCAATTGCTTTTCTTTTTTCTTCAGGATTTTTCAGAAGTAATTAATAACATTGTAATTGTAGAGATTTCTGAGCCCATTCACCTCAACCTGGTTTGGATGCCATTCTAAGACTGTTGTTCTGACATCATCCCACTTCTTCAAAAGATCTTTAATAGCAGATATCAGCATTAATCCTCTTTTTCAGAAGAAAACTTATCTCACCAAGTTTCTTGGTGTACTTTATTCAAGAGTTCTTGGCATTCTTCTGTCATCTGATCAGTTTCAAGTTCCATTATGGGCTCTTCAATGTTCTTTATTTCTCAGGTGTGGTTTTTTTTTCTCTAGCTAATTGAGTCTTCTTGATTATACTGTATCTATCTTAGTTAAGATTAAACTGTAGCCTACTGTAGACCTGTTCAAGCCATACTGCCCAACAACATCAGACATCTTCTGCCCACTCTCTCTCTACCTTTGCTATTATACTCTCATCTTTTGAAAATAAAAACCAATGCAAAACTTAATGAGTGCCCACCTGACAGTCTTGTGAATACTATAAAAAATTTGTCTGTCAGAAAAGTAAAAGTCTGGAATTACAAAGGAGAGTTTCAAAGTTTGGAGGAATTCTATCCGATCAGTATATACCAGGTTGAGCGTCGATGTCAACATCTTCCGCGCTCCGAAAAGTTTCGAACTGTTGCCTGAAGACAAGGGAAGACCAATTGTTAGTTGTTATTTTATGTCACTTCTTGTATTTGTTCTGTGGTGTGTTTGTTGTCCAAACATAAAAATTTTTCACAGAAGTGTTCATTATCTGATTTGTTCATAGTCCAAACTGTTCGTTAACCAATCACCCACTGTATAAAAATTATATATATATACTTCATACCTGTATTCTAAAAATTTTGGTAATAATAAATTACATAGACACATAAGCCAAAAAAAAGTATATTATTATGCTGGTTTTGCCATTCCTACTCTTTATAACATTAATTATATTTGACTTCACAATTTCTTTAATCTTCAATTTGTAAATAAAGAACTTGGCAAGATAGTCCACCACACCTAGTTCTTCTGGTGTGGAAATGTTTAATATTTTTAAATCACTTACTTTTTCAATCTGAATTACAATCTGAAAAGATTAAACTATTACATCATTTCCTCTTCTGTAAGATTTTTGCCTCTGTTCATTCTGTTGAAGATCTTTACTTTGATTTCAATAATTTTAAAGCAATTTGAAAAACAATTATGTATAACTGATAATTTATTTTTAATGCAATTTTAAAATGTTATTAGATTTTATCATTGGGCTTACTTTTGTGATATTTTTTTCTTTATGTATTTTTACATAAAGGAAAAAATTTCTTTTTAATAATCATTGTAATTTTTACCTTGCAACTTTATTATTGTAGTTGTCAAAGTTTTGCCATATTATTGTAACTTTTAGCATCTTTACTCTTTTATATCAGAATTCTTACTTGTCATTCCCTTAGAAGCAGTCACTATTGCCATATGGCATTGCCAATGTAATTTCATGATAAGGAATATATAGAGTAAATGATAAACCTGTTGTTATATAGTTCAAATATTCAAATCAATTTTTCACTATGCAAATTAAATAGTTTATTTAGTCAATTTGTTAAATGTTTGTCTACGAGGACTAAGCTTATTAATAGGACATATTGCACTAATGTTTTGGTTTTTGCAACAGAAGAAAAAACTTATTTAGTGGTACAAACAATCTTTATTTTTACCTTGTATTATACAGGTATAATAAAGATTGTTTGTTCCTCTGAATAAGTTTTTTTTCCTCTGTTGCAAAAACCAAAACACCAGTTCAATATGTCCTATTAATAAGCTTAGTTCTCATAGACAAACATTTAACAAATTATAGAAAATAAGGACATAGAGGCATATGAATTAATAAGTCTATTTATTCAGTATGGAATAAGCCTTATTTTTTGTCAAAAAATATGTTCACAAAGTAAGTTTTAATTCATTCTAGACTGCATACTATTAATAACAAACAAAACTTACTAATACACCTTATCTTGCAGCCGAAGTTTATTACCTCAAACGTTTTCAGTCATGTTAAATGACTTTCTCAAGAAAAAAAAGCAAATAAAAGATAAAAACTGTAAAAATCAAATGCTTAATACAAACGGACAAGCTTTTGGATGTTTTTGAACTAGCCTATAATCCGTTGCAATTAATGACGTCAGTTTTAACCTTGCAACGGAAGTATAAACAATCCTAAAGATTATATAAATATCTAAAAATCATAAGTACAGAGAGTTACCACCTCCGATCATCACGCATAAATACATAGCTTAGAATATAAGGATGCATAGTATCTGCTTCCTTCGATTATTAAGGCTTTATATTAAGCTTGAGGACCATGCTGCCGATATTTTTGTCGATTTTCGAAAGTTGATTGCCAGGCCTTTATGGTTTGCTTTACAAATTTGCCAGGCTTCCGCATAATGCCGGTGTTTACGGTATCGAACTACCTGCAGTAGTCTTGCTTGGTCTCATTCGGCTTTGACGTCTTGCAGGTCTGCTAAAACGTATGTGGCCAGCGCAGTGCACAGTTGTTCCTTTCTTATATTTCCTTGGTGTTCTGCTAACCTGTCCTTGATACATCTTCCTGTGGCTCCTATATGCCTTAATTTACTACGTCGCTATGAGTCTGTAACTGGGATTTTATAGACACCGTGCACATACGTTTTAGCGGACCCGCAAAACGTCAAAGTCGAATGGGACCAAGCAAGACTACTGCAGATAGTTCAAGACCATAAACACCGGCATTATGTGGAAGCCTGGCAGATTTGTAAAGCAAACCATAAAGGCCTGGCAATCAACTTTCGAGAATCGACAAAAATATCGGCAGCATGGTCCTCAAACTTAATATAAAGCCTTAATAATCAAAGGAAGCAGATACTATGCATCCTTATATTCTAAGCTATGTATTTATGCACGATGATCAGAGGTGGTAACTCTCTGTACTTATGATTTTTAGATATTTATATAATCTTTAGGATTGTTTATACTTCCGTTGCAAGGTTAAAACTGACGTCATTAATTGCAACGGATTATAGGCTAGTTCAAAAACATCCAAAAGCTTGTTCGTTTGTACTAAGCATTTGATTTTTACAGTTTTTATCTTTTATTTGTTTTTTTCTTGAGAAAGGTCATTTAACATGACCGGAAACATTTGAAGTAATAAACTTCGGCTGCAAGATAAGGTGTATTAGTAAGTTTTGTTTGTTATTAAAAGTAAGTTTTATCTAAATATTTTATCTGATTCAATAAATTCAAAGTATTATCTAAAACCATATATCAAGATACTTGAATATCCAAGAATTGTTTCTAGATTATGAAAACAATTTCAGAAGACTAATGAACTGTCAAGAAACTTTATGCAAATTTATCAAAGATAATTACTACAGTTTATGACAATCATTATTTTGTCTTTAACAATGACATTTTGAAATTAGCTTCACAAGACCATTTTCACCTTCTTGTTAGCCTCTGGAATTAACTGTTTTGATGTTTAAGGATATCTGTTCAAGCAAGACAACTCATATTTTGTTCCTTCAATCTTTCACAGGACACCTCATTTAAATCGGTGAAAACATCACAAATCCTTAAACTTATATTTTTGGCCAAAAAGAACATTGGAAAAATTTGGCCAGTGTTCTTTTTGTAGATTATTCAAGACTCAATTTACGTACTGTATTTTGTTATATTTTAATTTGAAGAGAATAAGAGATACATAATTATCACTAACATCAGCCAGACTTTTTATGGTGGTGATATATTGGTCTGGAGTGACATCATATTGAACTGTTAAGGATCTTATCCTTATAGTGCTAAAGTCAGGATGCAGTTAAGCCACAATTTCATTTTTGGTACTCCACCTGCCATTCTAGCCATTCTACCAAAATTAGAACTAAAGTAATGAAACATAGAAATTAATACTTTCAAATGGAAAAGTTATAAATAAGTTCTAATCCAGAAAGAGAATTTTTTCATTAATCAAATCTTGATACAACCTATTGCCATTTAACCTTGTGTAAAAAGATGGCATTCATAGAAATGCCATCTTTTTTACATTATTAATGAATAATGTAAAACTTTTTTTTTCTTTTGCTTTCTGAAATATTTTCTGGATCTTTTAGAAGCAGTAGTAATACTAATTAAGAAACATTACTTTTATTTTAAGAAGAGTCTTGAAAAATAGGTGTTTTTTCTTTCTTTCTTTTAATTATTAATTTCAGTAAAAATATTTCAAAATTTTCTTTTTTTTTTTTAGTTATTTTAATTTATTGTTAGTATTTTAATTTCTGATTAAATCTTTCAAATTATTGCAGGAATTGCCAACATCAATTTCTTCTTTACCAAAATTAAAAATTTTAAATCTTGGGTATGTAAATATTTAAAAAAGTAAATTAATATATTCAATTTAATTATATTATTTAGTAATAAATATACAGAATTTAACTAAACAGATAACCATTTGTATTTTTTTTCCTCTATCTTAATAAAATTCAATTAATTCAAATATATGAAAGTAGTTTATTATTGAAAAAATATTCAATACAAATTATTATTTCATTAATTACAAATTGAATAAAAAATATATTTATTGCTAATCTAATTTTATATTATTGTGAGTGTAGCTGGGTTTTTAATGCTTTTACTGTTGTTTATTATTTTAAAAATATTCAATAGTTGGTTAAAATATTGTAGTTTCTGTAAAATACAGAAAATATAGAGTTAAATATAAATTAGAAACTAAGTCTGTTATGAAAATATTTAATATTAATATATACAAATTAATTTTAGAAAAGTAATTACATACATAAATGGTTTAGATTATCATTCATGTGTTATTATGTATACAGTCATTGTCAAAAATTACAAAAAAAAAATTTTAAAAACAACATTTCAAATGTTAAATTATTGTCTAAACTTGCACTCAGATTTAAATAAGAAATTGAATTAAATATTAAAAAGTTTTTAGTATGCTAACAAATGTATAAAACCCTACATCTTGCAAAATGTTTCCAAGATGTAGTTTTTTATACAGGCAAAAATTTGCCAATAGTTATACTTATTCTTGGTAACTATTTAAAAGTATAAAAACCTATAGTTAATTGTAATCACTTTGGAATATGCCTGCATTGAGAGATAACGTTAAGTAGTTAAATAAGACTAAACTTAATGGAAATTCTGATTTTATTGAAAGACATAGACAAACATCATGAAGTTGTTTGTTACTGAAGGAAAATTGATCATTCAATAAAAAAATAGCACATGTACTATATGTATATATGGAAGGTCTTTATACCATTATCATAAATCTTTACAATTTCCTTGGTAATGTCTGTATATCCTTACAAACCTTTAGAGGGAAGAGTTTTGAGCACATGGACCCTTCACTTCAGGATTGAAATGGTAGACATAAGTTCTTTTTCTATTGAGAAGTCATTGTGTTTGTATGTATATACATGAGCTTCCTTACAAAAATGTCACAAAGGATTGGAGGATCATAAATTTTTGTGTCTGACATGGAGTGCACATGGACTCTTTATACAACTAGCCTGGTAATAAACTTCGGCTGCAAGATAAGGTGTATTAGTAAGTTTTTTGATATTATAGTATGCAGTCTCGAACGATTTGAAAATAATTATAGTTGTGTAGAATGTATACTCGGCCTGTAATCTACCCGCAGCTCTCCTACTGAGCAAAAGTGATTCTAGACAGAAAATTCTCTCTATAATCTCTAATTTCATCAGTATAATAAGTTCTATTACTGTAATAGACTAAAGTCACAAGAGACTAGTATTTTAAATTTTAGAAAAATAAATAAATTTTATTCATTTAAATTATGATTATCCAAAATATCCAGTTATTCTGATGTTATAGTTCAATTTTGCTTGTGGATAAATTTTTGATTTTGTATTCCTAAACTCTATCTAAATTCTTTCTATGTTGTTTTGATTTAAAGGCGGCAAAGTGCTGCTGTAATCATTGCTAAAGTTAACAACGGATGGAAAGGATCGTTGTTGTTAGACGATTCTCTTTCCTCTTCCTGTTCTTCGATCTTTCTTTTCTTGCATTCCGGTTGGCAATTTGCTTCGTCTTTAGCACCTCTCTTTCTGTTAATCGTTTCAATATTTGTCTCAGTTCTTTCTTCCAAATTATAAGGGAAAGTTTGACAGGTGCAATGACATCTACAAACATTTTCAGATCTTACGAACGAATTTAGAAGCGACTTTTCTCTTTTATATCTTTCCCNTTTGTGTGTTTTAGCTGACTATATATATATATAAAACTATACATTTTAAAAAAATCAATTAAAAGATTTTTTTTTTAACAATCTTTGTGTATTTCTAAAATACTAATTTTAACAATAACTTAAGTTTATTTATTTATTTATTAAATATTTACAGTTCTTGTCAATAAATTAAAAGGAGAAGAATTTATCTTACAATAATTTAGAGATTTCAAAAACTTACTTTAATTTATAATTGATTAGAATCATCATTAAAATAAGTAACAGATACATTTAAAATAATTTTATCTGTTTCAGTTTGTTTTTCGCAGAAACTTTGTAGTACTAATTTTAATATCTTATATGCCACTAAAAATTTTAATATGAAGCAATTTAATATGAATTTATATTTAGTAGATAAAATATACAACATTGAAAATAACTATATATATTTACTGAATTTTTTTTACTATTTATTTATAACAGTATGAATCGCCTGCTTACACTTCCTAGAGGATTTGGTGCCTTTCCACAATTGGAAGTATTAGATTTGACTTATAATAATTTAAATGAAAAGAGTCTTCCTGCAAATTTTTTTATGTTAGGTAATATTTTAAAATTTTATAAGACACTTCCTTATAATATCTTAAATTTTAGTTTTCAAAACAGTAATATAACAAATTTATATTATTCAATCACATTTAAAAACAAACCATTATTAAAAGAACCAGTTTTAAATTCTATTGAAACTTTTTGGGAAGTCCTTTTCTCCCATCTTTAATGACTCATACAAATTATCTTCAGAATGGAATGAGTTTTGTGAACAATATATTTAACAATAAATTTTGACAATAGCTTACACTGTTAATTTTAATGTTAAGATATTTTTGCATTATATTTCTCAATTTAAACTTTTTATTCTATAAAAAACTTTCTTAAAAATTCACCTTGTATCAATATGGAAATTTCTGCATCTCTATTATTATTTAAACACATGTTATAAAAATTGTAAAACTGCTTTCCAAATTTTATATATACAGTAGAACCTCGATTATCCGGACTAATTGGGGATGAAGGTAGTCCGGATAAGGAAAAATCCGGATAATCGAAATAAATACTTTAATTTGTCTTTTAATGATAATACAACACGTTTTCTTTTCGATGACATGTTGGTAATATTAAAAGTGAATACTGTATTTAAATCGTGATCTAATTTTCAAGAAACAAACGTTCGTATTGAATTTGGACTACTACTGACCAACGCTGACAAACTACCTATTGTTTAAAAGGCCCTCTGGTGGCGCAAGAAGACAGATTTTATAAAATAAAAAGCAGTTGAAACTGCATTTTTATGAATAAAAATTTGACAAACTATTTATCGTTTTATGACGAGTAAAATTTTTTCGTCGCGTTTGTGGCTTTTAAGTAATGCGTAAACCTTCGAGGCGCGAGGCCTTTCGAACCGCGAGGCATAGGCGGTGGCCCACGTCGTCCATGCCTTACGTTACCCTTGGTCATAGAAATGATGTAATTTGAATATAAATTATTTATAAATACGTATGTCGAGTTATATTTTTATTACTACGTAAAATATATTTAAGAATTTACGACCACTGTGCTGGGTGAGACGTTGTTGAAACAAAAAAAGTTATGCATTCCATCATGTACACAAACAGTGTCATAATTCGCCAAGTGCAAATCAGCAAATTCCTAAAATTTTTGTTTATTTTGAACAATCCGGATAATCGAAAATCCGGATAATGGAGGTCCGGATAATGGAGGTTCTACT